TAATGAATGTATGCGGAGTGTCACGTGACAATTAATTATCTCATAGAAAAATTTTTGAAAATATGCTCAACTTTTGAGACTCATTACTTAATAATTAAAACATATATCGAAAAAATAACTTCAACTGTTTCATCTACCTCTCTTACATCCTCGAATGATCTTTTCCCCAAATCTGTACGATTAGTGATAGCTGAGAACGAATGGCTTATTCGAAGCAGAAAGTAGGGATTGGAAGAAAGAAGAAAGAATTTTTTGTAGTGAAAAAGAATACGCCTCCTTGAGTTTCACTCAGTTGACTTAAACAAAAATTTTACTAGGCAACACTCATAGCGAAAAGCAATAAGTCTCCTATCGCTTCACTCAGTTGATTTAATAAATCGGGAGTCATGTGTCTTTATAGAAGACCCACTTTCACGAAAAAGACTGTTTGAAATACAGACAATAAGCGGGTTTTAAAGCAAAAATTTCAGAAACTATAACAAAGTGGATATTTTCGTTTTTGGGCAATGCAGTTGCCTTTTCTAGCCATGACTTGCTGTGTCTTATTTTGCGCTCTCGAAGACTTTCAGAGAGGGGCATACTGCTTTTTGAAAACACACTCAGAAAGAAATATGGATACGAGGAAAGTTGTTTCCCTTCAGTTCGAGTCTGCAGGTATCTAGCAGCTGCAAAAGTTTTTCATAGCAGTTTTTATCGCTCAGACCTCGCCTTTTTTTCAAAAGGTTCCCCATTCAATTCTCTACAAAAAAGTGTGAAAAGAGTTTCTACAAAATAGAAGCGTGAAACTTTATGTCGTGAATATTGGCATGCTCTAAAAATGCCCTTTTTCAAAGTATGTCTTATCGTTCGTTGCATTTCACGTCACCATATGACTAGGTATAGAAAAATTAAAGATGTCAATTTGTAGCTCTCGAAAAACCCTATCAGCCGAGCGATGATAGAAAAATTCTGACTTTGAAACGTGTTTGAACATGCTCACAGAACGTTCTTTCTTCTCACATTGATGTTTTTTTGGATCTGTTATTGGACTTCTCCGTAACCTTCATGTAGTTAGCTCAAAACGTAACTTTTCACAGTCGAATCTTTGCCAGTTCGAAGAAAACTGCTCTTTCAATCATCGCTAAACAACTTTATCGGTGTTCAGTTAGCTTTGGCAGCAAATTGTGCATGAGAACAAAATGTTGAATTATTCCAGCTCGTTTTTCAAGGCAAACTGTTCCTGAAATCTCGTAATACTATCCAAGCGCCTCGTTTCAACTGCAATGAGAAAGAGCATACTTGAAAATAGCGAGAAATGTGCACCACAGTCATTCGGCACTTTATTAGTCAGAGGGAGAAAAAAAATTAATATTGTAAACGCGTGCGTTTGAAAACAGGCACCGGAGCATACCAGTGTTCACGAGATAGAGTTTCACGGTTTCACTTTGTGCAAATCCTTTCCACACGTTTGTGTACAGAATTGAATCAGGAATCTTTTGAAAAAAAGGTATGCATTGAAAACGTAGAAAGAAAAAATGTCGAAAAAGAAATATCGAAAAAGAAATGCCGAAGCATTTTTGGTCGAAGAAAAACATGTCGATCACATAAAACGTCGAAAATTTTAAGATGTAAGAAAACGTATGTACAGTTTCTTACATTTTACATTGGTTCTCAGCTGACCAGAAGAGACAAGAGTGTTTGAGGGTGAGATTTTCTTACCTCTTAAAATTTTCGACGTTTTATGTGATCGACATTTTTTCTTTTGACGTTTTCATATCCATTGGAAAAAAAGGTCAGGTCTGAGCGATAAAAATTGCATGAGATATTCACGAAATACTGAGACCGCCATTCTTTATGGGCCACCCGTTAACTATTTTTCTGCTTTTTACTTGATTCTAGTTTACAGAAAGACAGACTGTCATTCCCCGTGCAACGTCCTTATAAGGACTTTTCTCGTTAGATGAGGTTCCCTTGGCAGAAGTCCCTGTCATAGCCAACCGAATGGTTATGAATGGATCCTTTACTGTGCCGTGATAGGAAAATGTTGATTTAATCGCGGCACTGCAATACGGCCCACCAGCCACTGTCCTCGCCTAATTAGTCATGGACCAGTGAAAAACCGGTGTCAGGACTTCCAGGAAAATTATTATGAATCGCGTATAAGAATTGCTCGGAGTCGCGGAAAGTCTCGTTTTGTAGAGAAATCTTTGCTCTAGATAATTCTGCTGTGAAAAGAAATTAGTAGTTATTTCTAACAAAAATGTAAGCATTCTAAAACGTGCTAAAGTTAGAAACAAACCTGATCGAACTGTGTTTTTGCATGAATTTAGTCGATTTTAGAATGCAGACATTTCTCTGCAAAATGAGATCTTCGGCGACTCAGCAGTCTTTATAGGTCGATCTTTGTGGAAGCTCTAACACCCGTTTTTAACTGGTGCATGTCTTCCCCTAACTATTTTGGAAGATTCAAAAGATTCCACCATGGCTTATGATCGTAAACATTGTACACTTCAGGAAAGAAATTCAGCAAGTTTACCGAGAAAAAATCATTTTGCTAAAGATGAAAACTTTGGAGCAATCCATGTCGAAAGCGAAAACATTAGAGGTTGTCAGAATGATTTCAGGAACAGTCCACACATAGTCTAGCTGGAAATACGATTGAAAGTCTCGATCTAATTCCAAAAAGGTTGATCTCCAAAGTTGAGTAAATCAACGATTGGAGCTCTCAGCATCTACTGCGAACGAACGAAAGCACGTCCAGAGCTCGCGGCTGCGTGAACATGTAACCGCTTTTCAAGTTTACGCCGTCATGTATTTGGTTAGTGGCATGTTAACGTCTGCTCGAAAATAAGAGACCTTTTTATGGCAAATTGAATAACTCATGTGAGACAAGGGTTAAAATTGTTCTGTTGGTATGTGGCGCTTCCATGGTTTCAAAGATGACGCATTAGCTGTTCATAGAGGAACATCGCATTTACCAAAATTCGAGCTATGATGAAGGCAATAAAACGGGTCAAGTCGCATCTAATCTAAAAGCTCATTTCAAACAGAGTATAAGACATAAGTTTCGGAATTATATCTTCAATCGTTCATGAGATATACAGCCAACAGTTTTACTGAAAAAGAGTTGATATACTACTATACTTGTTCTCACTGATTTCAGCATGAAAGCGTCGGTTTGAATAGAAAGTTTATTAGAAAAAACCAAGAAGATAAAACACGTTATTAAAAGTGTGTGATAGATTTACATTGTTTGTTACTTCTTTCCCTTTCATTTTAATGTGAAAATGTGACGTTTTTCTTGGGGTATTTTTATTCGTGTGATCGTATTACTGCACTTTATTGTATTTCTTTACTTTAACGACTTAAAACGAATTAGCACGTGATAGTTTATTTTCTACGTAGTGATTAATCATACCAGCATCCTGATAAGTCATGCTCACGCTTTCTAAACTCAGTCATCGTTTCTGTTATACACGTCCCCAACTATACAAGGACGCAAGAACTCTTAAAATATTCCAATTTTTGTTGTGCACCTGTCGAAATAGATGAATTTTGATTTGAGTCAAATGTGACAGTTATGTTAGATTGTCAACCCGAAATCTCTACTTTTAACTCAATTAGAATGAAAGTATAAAATTCAAGTTATTGTTTTACTATTAAACATAGCTAACACTAAAGTCTAATATGAATGTACACCATACACACGATAAACAGCGAAATTCTTCCATGCCCCCACTTGAATTAACACGACACAACATTTTTTCATTCATCTAGATACACCTAGTATCTAATGTGAATTTCCAACAAGATATCATTCACACTAAAGCCCTTAACACATCAGAAGACCCTCCCATAATAGAAGACCCCTCTTAAGAGAATAACGCAAAAGACATATTAGAAGACCCCCTGTTACGGCTATAATGAATTTCTTTTTTAGTTCTTTTATGATATACACAACTCTTATTTTATATGTACGTACAATATATATATATGCTTTGTTTCAGTTTTTTTGCTCTTTCTAATATCCATAATTGTCTACGCTCGCACAGCGTAATGTATTCAGTGTAAACAATGGACATATATGTATACATAATGTAGAAAATAATGTCTATTAATCACGCTTACGAGTTAGTTATCTTTTATTCATACCATTCTCTTGGTGTTAGAAGATGATGTGCGTCATCCTCTTTCTTTCGCCTATATCTTTTCTTTTCCTTCCTTTTGTATGTTGGTTGCCTTTGTTCTGTTCACATTTCGTCATCATCACATTTCATCATCTTTTCCATTGTTCAATCTCACCTCTCGTATGTAGTATATACAATACCGGTTTCTTTGGAATGAATCATCACCATTCATCATCATTTGTCTTTATGTCATCTTCATAGTCACCGAGAGCGATCTGATCTTCAAATAGGACGACCTACTCACATATTGAACAAGACCTAATCACAAATTGTTATCTACAACCTTTCAAAATCAATGTTGATCAGACTGATGTAGAATCTGATTCATATGTTAGTTCAATTGATTCTGATATCGAAATCAACCATACAGAAGAAATCAATGAAGATTTTTTTTAATTAGATTACGCGAAGGTTCAATGTTCTAGCGAAAAGGAATTGAAATACATAAATAGCAACTAAATAATCAGTATGAAAACATATTTTTATGAAAATTCTTGTCGAGGATCACAAAATCACTTCTCACTTTTTTTAAGGACATATTAGAAGACCCCCTTGGAATTTATGGACGATAAGACAGAATAGGAGACACCGGGTCTTCTGATATGTCCATGGCTTTAAGTGCTAAGCTATTATCTAGACTTAGTGTGAAATTGGTTTACATTACATAAGCGCAGAGAACACAGAAAACATGGAATCTAAAGTTTTCCTAGCAAAAACATCAAACTTGTCTTATACAATTTTCCCGTAAGAATCAATCATGATTATTCGAGGACCAGTGGTATTAACAGGTAACGTTAAACTACTTGAGATAAATCCTGTATATGAATTAATACTTTATACAATAGTTGGTTGTGTTATAAATGTTCCACCACTATTTATTTGTATTTGTGAATTATAAAGTAAAATAAACGTCTTTTGTTGTGTATTATCAATTAACAGGCCGTTAACAATAATTTGAATTTCATGAGCAAAACTGAAAGTTGGTTGTGAACCGCCGAGTATGAGTGTACCATTAACAATAATTTGTGGTATATAATTACTTAATGTCACTAATGTTACAACAACATTTGATAAAATGGCAACAGAACATCCATCTGTTGGTACTCTATTTGATGCCCATGTGAGCTGTTGTACCCATGAACCGGTACTGTTAGCTAAAACTGGTGCCCTGGGTTGACCGGAACAAGCTTTTAGAAAACAAAACTAATTATGCATGTACATATATAAATGTTGTAATCGGTCTTACCTGGCGGCGGTGTCAAAGCAATTGAAACATCTTAACAGAAAATAAGTACAAAGTGTCTTAAATAAAGAGAAACTAAAGTTTAAACCTTTACGTTTTATTGAAGAAAGAGAAAAATAAATACAAAGAGTCGCGGACTCACTGTAGCACTATAAACGAGCATTTTTGCCAACAATAAACAAGAGTACAGAAAGACAACACAAGTAAAAGATCAGGAGAAGAGTTGAAACAACATAAAAAATAAAAAATAAGAATTGGACAGGGAATAAAAAAGTGAGGATAGGGTTCTGTGTGTTACGGGGTTGATGTTACATAAGCATTCTTTGTACAATTTCTTCCCGAAACAAAGATTCAATATGATATATAATAATAAAAAGAAATAACAGCAAAGACAACGGAAGTTGCTAACAGGTCAAAGAGGCAGTTGGATATACTAGAATTGAAGGTTACTCAGACCGAACTTGCAAAACGCTTTGTCGCATCTATATACCGCAAC